CAAAAAAACTTTTAATAAATTGTTAGAAAAGATTGAACTTTGTATAAATAATAATGGCAAGTATCCTCAACATTTGACAAAATAAAATTAAAAATATCTTCTTATCTTTAGATTTTTATTTAATGTTATCAGAACTTTTGGTCAGACCTAAGTAAAAAAGGGTTTCGTGCATCGTATGGAATTTAAACAGAGTCTCATTCATCGTGCAAAACCTCGAAAAGGTTTCGATTCTTGCAACTAAATCGAAATCGTTTTAAGGATTCCGTGTATTTCCTACGAAATCCTTAAAAAATTTCCTCGTCTGGATATGGATGTGAGTTTGGATAAACAAAATATGATACTCACGCCCACACCATCAACACTCACACCCTAGTTATTGAATCATCAATTATTAGAGTGTTCTCGCTTGCTGCAACAATTTGTAAAGTATCGCTGCACTTTTAGAAACGTTCTTGCAGCGATGTTCAAGGATTGCGGCCTAGAAATTCCTTGGCTATTGTGGAGCTCTCATCAGCGCTATAATAATTCTTCGGGTAAACTTGAATGGACCATTAGTTCATTGACAGTTTGGTTATTCATAGTGGCCAAAATGATGTTTTTTCTACAATAGTTTTCACTAAGAAACATTTATCTTAACGAATTTCTTGATGAATTTGAATGCGAGAGCAAAAAATATTGCGTATAGTGTTTTTTGCATTTTGGCAAATCATTGAATTGTGGAGGAATTGATAAGGAAGTCTAATTTTTCAATCCTTTGACATGCCTTACTCACCTTTAAAGATTGGTGATAGAAATTTCTTTGTTTTTCTCTCACTGTTACATCCTGACTGTTTTTGGCTCGTACTTAGTTTTAATTCTATTTCTATTTTCGTATCACTTTGATTAACTTCGAAAAAAGGCCTAATACTTGAATTTATTTCAACATATTTGTTGACGTTCCATTCGAATGAAATAGATTAAAATATTTGGACTTTTTTTGAAGTCAATCAAAGGCATAGAAGGTCCATGATGGTTTTAGATGAATACAAGACTTATATTGAGTGGTATAGTTGTAATCCTGCCTTTATCTCCAGGATTCTACTCTATGACTCACTCTCTTCAATTACTATATAAATGATATCAAAAAAAGAAAGCGATCACATAAAGCTGGAGCTATTCTCCAAAATGATAGCAATTTTGTATTCCGTGTTTCGTCTGCAGGTAAGTATTGATAACAGAAACCTTCTACGAGGAAAGTATCGCAAATATTTTCTAAGCTTTTGAAATAATATTCAATTCCAAAATATAGTTCAATAGGGCCAAGAGTATCTTCAAAGGATATGCGCTTATTGATTTTATAGGAAATACAGAATCATAAGTCAAAAATTCAATCAAAACGTTCTTGAGTTCGAAGCCAAATATCATTTTAAACGCTCAAAAACATTTCTGAATGTTTTTTCCATTACTTTTTCTTTGCTATATTCTTTTCGGTATTTGTTTTTATGGCAGTAGCTTCTATCTTGAACGCATATGAAGATTTCGTTATAGTTGTGAACAGAAGGTACAGAACAAGAGTGATAATAACGATCATGAAAGATGTATGTAATAGAGACCGAAACAGAATTGAATTATCGAATGAAGATTTTTTTAAACTGATCGAATCGAATCTGAATTGAGGTGCTGTCTACTCAAATTGAATCCGAATCGAGATTTTCTTATTCTTTTCGGTCTCCAACGCGTAATACAGAATCGTTCACAGATTGTTTTTCTTAACATATTATTCACCATTCAAACGAGCTGACGAACCTGGTTAAAAATTGTTAAACTTTTCGAAATATTAAAATTTCTTCTTAGTGAGTATCAAAAACTTGATATAGTCATGACACTTAATTTGTTTCAAATCGAAAGGTTCATTCATGAGTCACATTTTCATTTCGACATCAAAACTTTCAAAAACATGATGTTGGAAACCGATCTAATTTTCTCGTTAACACTCGGAGCTAACATTCTTGTTGTTTCTCATTCTGTAGTCAAGAAGCTACAAAATTATAAAAAAGCTTTCTAAAATTTTATTTCCTGTGTGGAAAATTTTGCTTTGAATGGAAAGTTGCCTTTTTTGTTAACGAAAGTCGATCCATATTTCGACAACTTTAGCATTTGAAAAAAGAATCTAGTCGAATATTATGTTTTTTTATGATGACTTCCAGAATTCAAATGATTTCGAACGTGCTAATTTGCTGGTAAAAAGTCAAAGATGAAAATTTTGATAGGAAATTCAAAATAGTCTAATGATTATAAAAATCATGTCATTTGTTTCAAGTTTTTTCTTACAACCTAAACTTGTCGTAGAAAATACCGACATATGAGCAAATTTTGTTAAATATGTCCAATTTTTATTAGAAGGGTATGGGTATGGGTGTGTGCACAAAATAGACCCACACCCACACCCATTGTAGACTAATGTCAGCATTACGATAGAATCTGGTTGGAGCAGCAGCGATCGGAAAACTTGACTTGAATGTATCGCCTCAGAAATACTAAGAGACAGCAAGAGCATCTTTACTCTGTAAAGAGACGATGGCTTAGTGAGCTTGACTAGATGTTAATTGTGTCCTGATAAAATGGAAATATTTCCGAGAGGAGATTTGTTACGTAAAGGCTTATTTCAGAGACCATAACAGGAACAGAAAAAATTATTATTCCCCGATTTTCTGATGATCATATTCTTTCAAAGCAATCCTCATCAGACGGACTCGTTTAATGTGATTGCTTTTTCTGAACCGTGTCTTCAAAAGTAATCAGAAGTTTACCGAATTCATGATTAAGAAAACGATGCAAGTTTGAATCATTTTATACTAAAGTCTTAGTTATTTTAGTACGATCATATATTTTTCCTAGCGAGATCTGAACAATGTTATACTAGAAATAAATCAGCATATTTCTCGTTGTTTAGCATGATATAATATTTACATATTTTCTTTGGTTGTAGGATTAATTTGGAACAATATATTGAATAATCGAAGATTATATCATGCATCAATATTTTTAGAGTATAGTCCATTGGAAACAAGAGAGATGATGATAGGGGAAGAAAGAAAGTAATATATTTGAAATTTAGATAAACATGAGATCGAGTCTTCATTTTGTTCTCCATTCGACTCAGTAGATACCATAAAAAAATCCTTTAGTACAATCTCTATGGAATAAAAATGTGAAACACGATGAAACTGCTTCAATTCAACATAAATACTCTCACTATATTTCTCGCAGTTTAGAATAATTTTACAATATAGATATACAAACTGCAGTAACTAAAAGGTTAGGACTTTTTTTTTGTAGAAAAATGTCATTGGATTCACTTCTCATTATCGAGGGCGAGAACATCGAAAGTGCTGGAAGTGTTGCTGCATATTCTTATGATAACATATTCTTGAATTATGCAGCTTCTAAGGCGTCGTTATTGACCGTTCAACTTCGACATTCTCAAACTGATCTTAATGCAGAACATCATAATGAAAAACATGCCTTAACTGCATTGAATGAACGTTTCCATCTCTTCGTGGAATATGTTCAACGACTAGAAGAACAACATGCCAAATACATTGCTCAATTGGTCTCATTCATACGACACTCATATGATATCAGTACTATTGAAAGTAAATACAAGAAAGAGTATGTGCATTTAAACTCTGATCTTATGGCATTAAACAATGAAAAGATCGATGACGAAATTGGATATGAGATGTTTCAATTACAGGCTGCTATTTATTGTCAATTGATTGAGCTTGAACAATATACCAAAGACGAACAATGTTTGAAATTAGAACAAGAATTGAATAAGACGTCGTCTATGCTCAATACTCTACGTACATCACATGCACATTTACAACAGGAAATAAAAACTCTGTTTGCATTACGCTCAGAAACATTACAACAGTATCTGATATTGACACAAAAGTGGTGTAACGTGAAAAAAAATACAAGGGAACAGAAATGGAATATGAAAATGTTGAAAAATCAAATTATTTTCTACAAGAATATACATTTGTATCTAAAGTCAGTATAGTTCATTGGATCTTTTCTTTTTCTTTCGATCGAGAAACATATTTTTCCTTTCTTTAAGAGAATTCAAATCATTCAATATTGAGCCAGTTGATGGCAGTAAATTTTGGGGGTCGGCATACGATGAATGTGTGAAGAAAATACGTCATGATTTTGAATGGCTGTATGCAAAAATTCATCGTAAAATGATTGCATTCTTTGAATTAAAGATGCAAGACATGAAAACAGATGTTGAAGAATTATTGGAGTATCAGAAAGTCGAAATCGAGCAACTGGCTAAACGCATTCGACAATGGGAAAGCGAATGTGAAAAAATGCAGAAAAGTCTTTCATATGAAAAAGATTTGGGAATGAAATTGGAAGCTACGTGTTGTAAGTGAAATTTCATATCTTGTCATAAAAAGAAAAAGAAAATTTCAATACAGTTGCAGCTACTTTAACTATGCATAAAGATTCTTACTATACAAATCATGATCAATGGCAAGATCAAAGGGGCAGCACATTGAACTGTCTATCAGAATCTGTAACAGAGCCTATAACCAGTCGGATAAAACGTCTGCTCCTATCTGCAAGACAAATCTGACGATTTACTATTTTCGATATATACTTTAATGCTTATTAACAATTGTATTTCAGAAAAATTCTATTTGACTTCTTATAGCTCAGCTAGAATCGAAACTCCAAACGATTCAACTTGAAAATGTCGAGGAATTAGAAAAACAATCGAAAGATATATCTATTTTAAAGGAAAAATTTACGATAATAGCCTATGATATTCAACAAATGCAAGAAAGGTTAGAAAGTTTGATCACAGTCGACAATAGGTACTAATTGTCTTCATGCATGATTCTTCTAGAAACGTCAATTTAGAAATTGAAATTATTCTGTATCGTGACCTATTGGGATGCACTGAAAAACATAAAGAGTTAGTTGTCTCTTCTTCGTCATCTGAAAGATCAATGGCAAGAAAATGGACTATAAAAGGCTATACAATTGGATCGGTTGGCATTAGTAAGTATGATTGATTATAAAAGAAAGAAAGAATTTGATTCATTTCTTGTTTGTAGAAGATTGTTCGCTCGATGGGGATTACATTACTGTAATAAATCATTCGAAGACTAAAAATTTTGATATTTCAAAATGGGTACTTATACATCAGGTCGATTTTGAGCCGGTAGTTGAATATAAAATACCTGATGGAATTCAACTTCAAGAAGATGGTGAAGCAATAATTTATTCGACGCAAGGTGCGAATGTTGCTAAATTATCGTTAACTGATCATGCTATTTCATCGTTGTTACATCAAAAACTAGTGAATAGGGAACTGTTTTCATGGGGTAAGCGCGTACATGACGTTGCTCTTTTTATTAATTAGTTTCTGTTTCGACTACCTAGGTAAGGGAAATGTACTCAAAACGGTCTTATTTAATCAACATGGCGAACAGGAATCATCATATTTACAAACGATATTCTCTCACAGCGATATGATGTAGTATGCAAAAATACCAACACAAACTCTTTATTAATGGAAAATATACTCACCCCTTATACCGAATTCTACTTTCTGACCTTCTTATTTTCGTAGATGCTTAGTTGAAAATTTGTAGCTTTATTTTGTATGTGTGCTTTCCTACTCCTACTATTGATGATATAGTATAGTCTAAAAAAAAACAGTATACTTTTCGACTTTTCTGTTTTCATGGATTTACCTAAAGCTTTTTGGACACCTCATAGAATATGAAGATTCTATAGAAAAGTACTACTCCAATGCTCACAGTGACATAACCACATGGCACTATACAGGATACTTTGATCTCTTCAATGTACATTAAGCTTTGAGTGTACAATTTTGCAAATAGTTTCGTAGAGCAAGATGAGATCTATCGATTGCGATATGATCGTTTTTTTTATAGTCGTGAAATGGCGAAGAAATATTCAAAATACGATGATGGCTCTGAAAGCTCACTTTTCAGGTTGTCAAAGTCGTTTCATGTAATAAATCAACTTTGAACAATCAAGAACAAACTTTCAAACCATAACATTATGCATTCGAGTAGGGTATAAGATTAACTATCTATCAACAATACTGAGTTCAAAATCTGAAATTTCACATGCATCTATATTTCTTTAATCTTCGTTATGAAATGTCACCTAAAAGATGTCCGAATCAATATTTTTGTCCGATACTGATGCAATTGGATAGCAAAAGTGAACACGAAGTCTTAATTTCATGAATAGAAGTCTATGTTTATTTCTTCTACGAGTCACTTTTTTTAATCCCATCTTTCATCAAGCATCATGCTAGTAGGGTAGAAATTTTCCGTAGATAGCTAATGGTCGATTATAAGGGTGTGGTAATGATTCTTCTCTTCTCTTGCAGTCACATACACACGTCACAACACCCACACCCACACTGACACGCAACTCATTCAAATCCCTTGCTTATGTTAAGATTTAAACGGTCGTTCATGGCGAAATGTACCGCTACCATAGTTATTAGTTCTAATCTACCTTCCATATATATATATGGTTGTCTGCAAAGAAACAGTCAATAGACGAAAAGCGTTTGAATACACATTCAGTGATTCTTTTGCGTGTCTGTTTCGAAAAATACCTAGAGATCCTTTTAGCGAAAAGAAATGTATTCTTATGAGGGCAGGTCCCCAAGTGATAAATTGCTTTTGAACTGGAGCTATATTTAATCGATAGGATCTAGTAAGTAAGTAAATATTCTAGAGTGATTGAAGTCACATAAAAGCAATAATTAGACTAGCCAATAGAAAAAATTTCCGAATTTTTTGAGCAAGTGTCCCTAAAATATAAATCTTTCAAAATATTCAAGCTTTTTACAATAATCACGACAAAGTGCCTATATTTTAAAAAATTCATATCTTGGAGAGAGTTAGTGAAAAAGCTTTCAATTTTTTTTTCTACAAACTAGCCTAATCGATGCCTTTATGTGAACAAAGTTTCAGGACGAAATATAAAAGTATGATTTCGCTTGAAACTAGAGCTTTGCAGGGTGTGGGTGTGTGTGGGTGTGAGTGTGAGTGGATGTGGGGTGTGGGGTGGAGTGGGGTGTAGCTGGGTGTGGGTGTGTGTGGGTGTGCTGTGGGTGTGATGCGAGTGTGGGAGGGTGTGGATGTGTGGGTGTGGTGTGGGTGTGTGCGTGTGGGTGGCGGTGTGGGTGTGGGTGTGTGGGTATGGGTGGGTGTGGGTGTAGGTGTGCGTTATCGTATTCTCTATCTCTTCATCTTCACGCACCCACACCCACACCCACACCCTTTTAATAGTATAGGTTGAAATAGATTAACAGGTAATAATGTTTAACCTATATGACAGCAATACAAGATGAAAATAAAATTGAAACAGCTAAGAAATCGTAATGATGATCTGTCAAGAAGTCTTCAGGTATGGAACTTCTACTTTAAACAGATAGCTTAATTCAAAACTCGAACATATACAAACGCGTTTAAACTGTTAAACGATTTTCGAATCGTAAAAAGCACGCACATTTTAACGCGTTAAAGTATCTAACGTTGTAAAAACGCTTTTGAAAGTTTTAACGTGTTAAAATGTGCGTTTTGTACGATTTGGAACGCGTTCATTTTCGAGCGTTTTAACCCGTTTTTTTATTGATTTTGACTTCCTGGGTAAAAGTCAATCTTATTCCATATATTTTCCTACAAACAATGTGCAAATTACTCGATGTATAATTTGTCTGTAAATTGTTAGGAAAGAAATTTTCCATCAATTAAATTGTGAAAAATGAAATGATTTAGAAAAAAAAAGTAAAAGAAGCTTTACAAAATGAGTCTTGGGTCACCAGACACTTTTCTGATTGTTGGATGATTCAAATAGGCTAAAGTCATCGTATCTTGGACATCAAGCTCAAAATCGAATATCGATAGATTCTCCATCATATGTGTTGAGTTGAGAGTGCGAGGATTGATAACAATACCTTGCTGCCAATGCCATCGATACATAACTTGTGCAGGCGTTTTACCATGCTTTTGTGCGATTTGAGTAACATTGGGATGCTTACGCATATCTGGAATAGGATTCCACGAGGGATCAAGCCACACTGTATGATTAGGGGCATCACCGGGAGAACAGCTATTAAAGGTAATATTGTGTTTTTTGCAAAAATCAAGAAGTTCGTCTTCATGCCAATAAGGATGAAATTCAACCTGTTCAAAAAAACATTTCACTGAGGAGAATATTTATAAAGCGAATATACTTGATTGACACTGGGAATAGAAGAATTTAAATTAAAGATTTCTAATAAATGATTTACTTCAAAATTGCTCACACCAATCGCACGTACCTAAATGAGAAAAATTGATCAGAATCAATAATAAATGAAAAAATGTATCAAGAAGAATGACAATCTCAACATTCGGATGAATAATTAATCGAATTTTTTATCTGCAGATATGAACTTACTGGTAAACGGTTTTTCATTCATATCCTCCGAAAAACATATGAACATTTTTTAGCTTAAGTTTGTTAGTTGATATCATCAGTAGGAGATAATTTCCAGCAATACTTTTCTTGTCATTTATACTCTTTGTCTATCCTACTTTTTACAGTTGAATTCTTCTATTTGGATCAACCTTTTTTACATCATGCTCAATTTAATGGCATGAATGTCTTTGCTAAATAAAGTTAACATTCGTATCTGAATGATTTAGCATATCTTGATGAATTGATAGAACAAATGTAACGCTTCAAAAATGATACAGAACCCATATTGTATGGACCGATTGGAAACCGCCGATAAAGTCCGGTTATTTTCTTAACCGTCACTTAACCGCGGTTATTTTCCATTCTAACTACAGTTACACAGCATAAAAACCGACGGTTAACCGTAATTAAACGTCTAGTTAACCGAAAAAGTAACCGGACAGCTAGCGAGAAACCGATTTTTACGGTTAAGCGAGGGTCGAGAAAATAATCGAAATTAACTGGTAGTTTTCGACTGGTTCATATAACATGAGAAGTGTTCAAAAAGGATCACATTATAGCGGAATACTAAACGTATGTATCCAAGCTGTAATAGGGATGCTCAGAAACATCGAAATTAAAATAACTGAAGCCGAGATATTCCTCTGTTTCACTTGCGTTAGTTTGAGGTTTTATTATCACAAAAAAATATCACTTTGAATTATTACTTTGATGTTTCTTTAACGTCACAATTAAGAAAACAAAGAAAAGAGTACAGACGTATCCTGTCCTAATAATCTTCACTGTCAAACTTAATCTAACTATTATTTTTTTTGATAGGGCTAAAATAAAATTTGGCATTTTACCGCTAAGCTCAAGTTCATACGATGAAAACTCACGAAACCATTGAAGAAACACTGACTCTGACTTTTTCTAATATGCTCGTTGTTTTCATGGAAATTTCATAAAATTCTTACACGTTGCTGATCAAATAATTTTTGTAATGCTTGCCATGTTTGGATACGACAGTCAGCCCAAGTTGATTTTCCTTGTTTGCAAGAAGGAAATGGCCC